ACACTGTCAAGGGCCAGTTCGTATAGATGTGGGTGGTAGTCTGGGGAGTTTGGTGGGTGCCTGAGAGTAAGCAGGACCGAGATGAGAGGGGGCCTGGGCCGGTTCCAATGAACGGGAGGTGACGGAGTAGAGAAGGGGTCGTCAGATCTGTTGGAAGAAATCTAGGGAGGGTGATGTCAAAGCTGGGCTCCGCTGGGGTGGACATGGCTGCCGTTTGTGGAGCGATTCATGTGCCAGACCCATGCTGAGTTCTTTGTGAACATCAGCTCGGCCACTCCTTCCACAGCACTGTGAGGAGCTTGATTGGTTCCATGTCATGGCTAAGGAAACTGAGGCCCAGAGAGGTCACACCTGAGGTCGCCAGCCAGCAAGTATGAAGTCAGGATCAGTATCCATGGCTGGCAGCCCAAGGCAGCATGATGGTTCCAGCCTTTGGGTGTTAAGAAGCCAGGCGAGAGGTGCTGGACTGAGCTAGGTGTCAGCCGAGCAACTGAGGTTCCTGGAAGCCAGCGTTGAGCCAGGAACACAGAGCCAGACCCGTAGTCTGCCAGACTTGAAGGAGTAACCGTCTCAAAAGTCAAGCCTGGAGGTCAGACGCTAGGCCAGAATTCTAATCGCCTCGCCCTTTCTCCAAGGACTTTCCAGCCCACAGAGCACTCTCCTGTCCTTTCTCAGACTTGACCCCCTGAGCTCTCTCTCTGGGACAGGGGGCAAGAGGCATCCTCGCCCCATTTTATGGTAGAGAAAACCAGAAGCGATAGCCTGGGACCACACAGCTAGCAGTAATGGAGTGAGGATTCCAGCCCAGGCTTTCTGGCTTTACGTCCAGTGCTCTTTCTGTAAAATCCTAGCTGCATAATCCTGAGATGGAGGCAAACCCCAGTTCACACCTCCCCAGGCCGCCTCCCCCGCCCCACCTCATTCAGGAAGTGGTTTTTGAGGGCACATGGGAGCCCGGCACATGTAGTGGATGTGATGAGTCATCTCGGAGTGAGAGTTGCAGGCTGACCCCGGGGTCAGCAGACTTAGCTCCACATTTAGTATCTGTGTGACATTGAGCAAGTCAGTTCCAACGGCCCACTGCCACCCCCCATCGCGACAGCAGGTGGGGACTTGGAACCTAGAAGACAGAGCTGGTGGGAGCAAGAGCTCTGGTGACACACCTGCTACCCTTCCTCGGCCTGTTCTGAGCCCTGGCTTGGATTGGGGAGAGGATGTGATTAGATCCTAATAGGGGCTCCATTCATTTAGAGGTCCTGGTTCATCTCCTGTGTGTTTCTAGCAGGCGAGACCTGAACAGAGTTAACCCTGGTCTAGCCAAGTCGAAGAAGTGATGGATGGGAGCAAGAGGCTCCCTGCAAGAGAGGGGCGGCTGCGCCGAGGTCTCCTGACTCGAACTCCTGCGCCAGCAGGCTGGTCTCTCTGGTTGGATTCTTGTCACCCCAGATAATTGCCACAGCTGCCTAACTGGGTGTCCCCAGCTGCCTACACTTCCTCCGTCAGAGCACTCACTGCACTTGATAAGACCAGTTGTCCAACATCTTGCTTTTTCTGCTCAACTGACAGCAAGGAGTGTGTCTGACTTGTCCCCTGCTGTCCCTCAGGGCCTCACTCAGTGCCTGGGGAATGAATGAACGTGTGTATGTCCCAGTCCTCCCTCACCCCCTGTCCTGCTTATACTGCCCAGAGCACTTTTCATGTAGCACAGCTCTGCGCGTGTCATTTCTTTGCTCATAGGACAGCCCCATGCCTGGCATCTCTTCTGTGACACCCTCTCATCTTTATCTCCACTCCTTTTCTAATTCCTTCCTCCCAAATCTCAGAGGTTTCCTGTATTTGTTCCAGAGGCCCCCTCCGCCCAGGGAACCCCCCCACTCCAGCTCTCTCAAGAACACCGGCCTGACCAAACCTGCCTGGGCGGCCCATCCAGGAGCGCAGGACAGAACCAAGGAGCTCCGGTCCTTGTTTGCTACCATCTGCCTGTGTGGGATGGACCCAGGTTTGGCAGTGCTCAGCCTGCTCCCCCTCCTTCTAGACCCCTGGGGTCCCAAACACTTGTGTGTAAGGGTCTAAGGAAGCAGGGACAGACCCTCTGCCAGGAGACATGACTGAATCAACCTCCAATTTCTTAGGTAATTTTCTTAGCCTCTGGGATCTCAGTTTCCTCATCCCTGAAATAAGACTAGACTGGTCATAGCCACCATTTCCTCAAATGCTTCTCCTGGGCCAGGCCCTGTGGGGACTTGCTCTTGTGAGTCCAGTGTGACATCATGGCTCTGTGTCTTCCAGAGGTTGGGAGGCTTGGCTAGGGTTGCACAGCTGGAAAGTGACACCACAGAGGTCAAAGCCAAAGTCCTGCTCTGGCATCTGAACACGGAGCTCCTGGGCACTAGAGAGCCCTTTGGTCCTTGGTGGTTTCTCAGCTACCCTGGGCAGGGGACCTCTGGGGACAGCTGTACTTCCCTTCTCTGTTTTGTTTAGTTTGGCCTGGGTTTAGGGCAAGATTGGTGGAGGCAGGCTGACTTGCATTTCTGGTTTGGGGTTTGTTGCTGCACTTTCCCGAGGTGTGGGCGGGTTCACACGGGCAGGCGGCAGTCACCGCTGGGACTGGCCTTGGCCACCCCCCAGGAAAAGGGAAATGCGGCCTGCTCCCCTCTCGAGGCCACTCTGCGCCAGGCCCCAGGGCACTGGTTGCTGCTTCCTTCCATCTGTCCTTCCAGGTTGGGGTGAGCAAACAAGGATTGTCAAGGAGCTGGCTTTGGGCAGTTTGTTTTTCTTGTATACGAGAACGCTTCCCAGTGGGTGGGGCGGTGGGCGGGGATCTTGGGCTGCTCTGAGGACTGAGCTCTGAAGTAGGCTTGGGAAGCAGGAGCTACAGGCCTGAGGCTCCAACCCCTGCCTGGCCCCACTGGGGCCTTTGGGCGCGTCCCCAGGTCTCTGACCAGGCTGGGCTGTCAGTCTTCTCAGTTCAGCCAAGGGCTTCTCTGTCCACCTGGGGACAGCCTGGTGGGGCAAAGCACAGCTCTTAGCTTCCAGGTGAGATTTCTGGACTGGGGGACCTGGCATCACCGTCGCCAACTTTGATTCGGGGTGTCTGACTGAGCTCTAGGGATCCCTGGGAAAGGTGGTTGAGGTCTGTGGTCTCAGCATTTCCCTCTAGATGTATTTTTAAGGTGACCACGACTACCACCACCGTAATCCCATTGAAAGCCTTAAACTTTCTATAGTATGTTTTCCTGGTTGTTACTTGGGCATGGTGGCTGTCCCATTGGATAGGTGGGGGACCGCGAGGCCCAGAGGATTCAGTGACTGACTCCACCCGGCCCCGCCCTGTGAGGCTGGGTGGACCCCGCCCATCTCTGGGCCTCTTGTCCCTCCCTGTGCACTGGGGGTTTGGGATGCCGGCGTTTCAGAGTCTGAGGCTGTGAGGTCTGAGGGCCCACGGGTAGCGTCCTCTCCCAGGTACAAGCGGGATTTCTAGGGCAGGGAGTCCAGATACAAGCGGGATTTCTAGGGGGTGAGTGGGTGCCTGTCTCTGGCTGTGCCTGGGAATCAGAACCTTCAGGTCATCCTAGTTCTCTGAGGCTTTCCCCGCTTTTGGCAGCCACCATCTACTATGGGGTGCGGGTGCTTTCCTTTTCATGTCCCCAGGATGTGGTTCTTATCCACAATGTGCTTTCACATCCCCTCTGGGGCTCACAGAAGCCAGTGTAACCCCTGACATGCGTGTGCAACCCCTGGCTGCTCACTCCCAGATGTGAGGTCTGGCCGGGGTTTCACAATCACAGACTCCTGAGGGCTGAGGGGGTTTCTCAGCTTCCGGTACAGCCTTTCCGTCTCTGGGTGGCTGTGCAGTAGTGGGTAAGTCACTGCTCTTTGGCTCAGCCTTCTCACTTGTCAAGTGGACACTACAGTGAGAGCTCTTAACCTATGTTCTGGGCGTATGCACCCCTGAAATCCTTGGCTTCTGTGCGTGCGTGTGTATGTACGCACACCTTCTTATGTGTCTGCACCGTTTCAGCGTAGGTGTGGTGCCTGACTTTTCCTTTAGTTCTGACTGGTTATGCCCTCTTCCTGGGTGAAGACTGGGCTCTGAATAGTTCTAGCAATAGTGTTCCAAGACCTTGACTCGGATGAGCCCTGAGACCTGCTTGCCCTGTTGGCTGCGGCACTGCGGGCGCTCCTGACCCCTGAGCCCTGGTCGGCCTGCGAGGCAGCTGCTTTACAGGCTCTATCAAGGGCCCTATTTTCCCCTTCGTAAATGAAACCTACAGGAACTTAGCAAAAACTTCGAGGACTCTGACAGTTGTGTACAGGCATAAAAGTCTTTCTTTTCTCTGTATGCAACGCGCGAGGTTCCTCTAAGCACAGTTTAAAAGTCACTGGATGCCTCCTCAGTGAGGTTCCCTGTGTCTGTGATGTCGTTCAGTCCAGGTGTCAGCAGCATTTTGAAGTTCTTATTTCATTCCATTTAGTATCAAAAGCTACTTAAACATTGAGAGCAAGTTCTCACTGGAATGACTCAAGAGGATTTTTTGAAATAGTTTGGTTCAGGTAAAAGATGCCCTTCGGCCGGGTCCCAGAGTCTCCCACTCAGAGATTGCTCTGGTTTGGAGCTGGTTTGGCCGTGCTCTGTGAATGCAGAGACTGCCTGGCTTCTTCTTACTCACAGAGGGACCACGACACTCGCCTTAGGGGGCCATTGGGAAGATTGTATGGGGGGGGGGGTTGATCTGGCATGGTCCCCAGTGCGTAATAGGGGCCAGGTAAAGGTTGCTACCTCTCCTCCTCCTCTCAATGAAACCGTGTTTTTCAGGCCGGGGCCCCTCATACAGTTAAGCCAAAAGGGCTTTCAAGTGTCCATCCAGTGCTTCGGCTTTCAGCCTGTGGGGTGTGGGGTTCCGGCTGCTGCCTGGTTTTGTTTCGGCCTCTGTGTGCACAGTACCCAGCGTCTCGTAGCCTCCTCTTCTGAACTTGTTTGTTTTCTCCTTGTTTCTCAGATGTTTGAGTCAGAGGCAGATGAGAAGAGGGAGATGCCCTCAGAGGAGGGGAAGGCGCCAGGTGCCGAGGAGCCCCCACCCTGCAAGGACCCCTGTCCTGGCCAGGAGCCTCCTCCAGGACAAGACCTTCCACCCAATAGGGACTCCTCTCCTGGCCGGGAACCGTCTCCTGGCCAAGAAGCCCTGTCCAGCAAAGACTCCCCTTCCTGCAAGGAACCCACAATATGGCAGGAACCCTCAGCAAACGAGGACTCCCCATCATGCCAGAAATCCCCTGAAGCCCCTCCCAGCCAGGACCTTCCTGCCAGGGAAGAAGCCCCTCCCAGCCAAGACCCTCTGCTCAGCGAAGACCTCCCCGCCACCCAGGAACCCCCTGCTCAGGACCTCCTGCCATGTCAAGGCCTGCCCCCCAGCCAGGCCCCCTTGCCAGCTGAGGCCCTTGCTGAGGAGACCACGAGCCCTGGGGACCCGCCAGCAGCCACCGGGGACCCACCCGCGGCCTCCAGGCCAGCTTTCATCATTCCTGAGGTCCGGCTGGATAGCACCTACAGCGAGAAGGCAGAGGCGGAGGGCGGCAGCTCTGGTGACGAAGAGAATGCAGAAGAGGCTGAGGAGGGAGACGAGGGGGACGAGGGGGAGGAAGACGACGATGAGGACACGAGTGATGACAACTACGGAGAGCACGGCGGGGTCAAGCGCAGCAGCATGATAGAGACGGGCCAGGGTGCTGAGGGCGGCCTCTCTCTGCGTGTGCAGAACTCGCTGCGGCGCCGGACGCACAGCGAGGGGAGCCTGCTGCAGGAGCCCCGCGGGCCCTGCTTCTCCTCCGACACCACCTTGAACTGCTCGGACGGAGAGGGCACTGCGTCCTCCTGGGCCTTACCTTCGCCCCGCACCCTCAAGAAGGAACTGGGCCGCAATGGCGGCTCCATGCACCACCTTTCCCTCTTTTTCACAGGACACAGGAAGGTAAGAAGGCCGAGGGTAATGGGGGGGGGGGGGTACGTGAGATGGTGGGGCACGATTGCGTCCAGGAGCTGCCGGGAAAGAGCGGTCACTTTGTCCCACCCCTACCAGGACCTTCCTGCTAAGCCTTCCAATGAGCTCTTTCGATGAGCCTTATATCCACTTGACAGAGAAGAAAACTAAGACCCAGGGAGACCAGAAGGCACAACCTGCACTTAAACCCATGACTTTGTGACTCCAGATACTGTGTTCTTACAGCTCTGTTGTGCTGGGCATCCCCACAGCAAGTAGAGCAGATGCGACCTAGCCCAGAACACTGTGTGTTTGGATCATAAAGACCCAAGATAGTAGCTAGAGAAATAGTTACAATTTCACCTTGGTCTGTGCAGAGCAAGATTAGAAATCCAGCAATAATGGCAACACATATCTACTCGGTGCTGGCATTATTCTAAGCCGTTTATGTTAACTCATTAATTCTCACAACAGCCCTGTGAAGTAGATCCTGTTATTGCTCCCTATAGATGGGGAAACTGAGGCATGGAGAGGTCACCTCGCTTGCCCCAGGGTTCTGACTGTCAGAACCAGAATCAGAACCTGGCTCTGGGGTTGGCACTCTTAGCCACCATGCTGTTTGCCGCCTGCAAATCTTTATAAGCAGGGGAATAAGTGTTGATGGATTCCTTGCTGTGTGCCAGGCCGTGTGCTCTGCGCCACCACAGGGGCCAGGAATGTGCGAGGCTGGGCGCAGCCTGGGAGAAAGGAGCTCTCCGTGTGGGCCAGGAAGGTGGCCGAGCAGTGAAATGCTTGGGCTGTGTCCTTGAAACTCATTAACCAGCCTGAGTCAGGTTCTGCCTTTTACTTACTGTGTGGCCTTGGGTGAGTCACTCAGCTCCTCTGAACCTGAGTGTCCTTCTCTGAAAAGTGGAGATTAACAGGCTTCACGTCCCAGGGTGATTGAGGATGAACCAGAAGTGTCTGGCGCCTGATGACATCAGTGCAGGCGCAAGGTGAATGCTGTTGAGGTGCCAACAGACAGTGCAGTGCAAGGCGTTGTTATGACAACAGTTGGGAGGCCAGGCGGGTGGGGGTGGGCAGTACCTACAGAGGGCAGCCGACCCCCAGAGACCTGGGAGTTCAGGGAGGCGAGATCCCAGGACCTTGGGCCATCAGAGAAGGCTTCCAGAGAAGTCTTCAGTTCTCTCAGCTTCCCTCAGCTCAGCCTTGAAGCTTGAACAGGTTTGGAACAGACAGAAAGGCTGAGGCAGATGTTTTGTGAAAGAGGGCATGACCTAGACAAAAAACGTTCCCAGAAGCCAGTTACGGCCAGAGCGGGGGATTCCTGAGCCGCAGGCATGACAGGCATGCCTCCGGACCCAGGGTGGACTTGACTAGTGGGTGCCAGCGTGCTTCCCCACAGAGGCGGGACGTGGCTTCAGAAACCTTAGCTTCGAAGCCACTAGCAATAGAGCAGACTTGGCACTTGGGAGGACACCTATGGAAAGGTGGTTGGGCTAAAGAAGCAGGCTGAGACCCTGAAGAACAGGGCCTTAAACTTGGGGTCCAGGAATTGGAACTAAATCCCAAAGGAATTAGGACTGAATCGCAGTTTTCTCATCCGTAAACACAAGTGGGTCTCAAACTTTGATGTGCTTCAAGATCACCAGGGGGAGGTGATTCCAGACGTCTGGAATCAGGATTTCCATGGGGAGATGCTCAGACCCTGCATCTTAAACAAGCCACCCAGGGATTGCGAAGTTCCTCACAGTTTGAGTATCATAGCCTTAGGCCTTGGTGCAGCCGCTGCAGGGGAGCCCAGGCCTCTGTCCTACTGAGGTGAGGCCTCGGCTGACCCAGGGAGGCCTGGGTACTCTCCTCTGAGGGTGGCCGAGGTCCCAGGGCCCACCACCTACCTTGGACCTCCCAATCCTGATCCCCCCACCAGACCCTTCAAAGCTTTCTCTCCTCCCCACCTTGTTCCAATACAAATACATATAGTACACATAAGTTCACACACATTCATGCATCCACTTCTCGTTCCCCAAAATAATTGACCGCCGCTCCTATTTTGGGGCTGATACTTCCGCCTGGGCGTCCAGCAGGCCTGGACAAGTTTTCTCCTGTCTCAGCTTCCTCCTTTGGGTGCCCGGGGTTCCCACTGCATCTTCTTCTCCCCTACCCTCTTTTGACCGGCTGCTTCTTTTCTTGAGCTTGAGTGACTAAGCCTGCAGAGCCCCCGAGGCTGCCCCCAGCCCCGTGGTGGCTGCTTTTCTGTGTGGCTTCTGCTTACCAAGTCTCAAGTCCTTTGTCATCTCTTATACACTGCTCCCTCCAGCCAGCCCGCTTTAGTAAGAGACCTCCCCTTGTGGTAAGGGTGGGGAAGTAAGGTTGCAGCTGGACCAGCACCCTAGTCTCATACCATCCCTCATTGGGAGCGGGCCTTGGGCAAGTCCCCGTGCCTCTCTGAGCCTCAGTTTCCTCATCAGTGAAATGGGCATGGTAACAATACCTCCTTTGTAGGGTTGCTGAGAAGAAGAAAGGGCCCAGCTCGGGCAAAGCGTTAAGGGCAGGCCTGGCACTCGGCACCTGGTGGGTGCTCCGTAACCAGGAATCATGTTGCCGGTGAAGAGGGGGAGGGGAGGAAGAGAGCAGCCGCAGGAGGAGTCACGGTTATCCTGACATTCATCAAGCACGGCCAGCTCCCTTTCCTAACTTTCACAACACAGCTTTGAGGTGGGCCCAGCTGTGCTCATCTTATATTGGGGAGCCTGAGGCCGAAGGGGAAATGTTTTGTCACAGCCCACCCAGCGTGTGCAGCTGGGCACCGACTTCATCCTTGTCCAGTCTTCTGTGGCTCTCCTCCAGACCCCGCACCCCTGCTGCTGGTGGGGGCAGGGGCCGTGCTTCCCAGGACTCCCATCTTCCTGGCCTAGGCCTCACTTTCCTGGCAGGGTCAGTGGAGGCCGACAAGCTGCTGTTTGCAGACAGCGCCAGAGAGAAGGCGAAGAGGAGAGAGGGGTGCAGTCTTCAGGCTATGGAATCAGACAGACCCAGGTTCAAGTCTCAGCTCTGGCTCCTCCCACCTGGTACTGAGATCTTTCTTTGAGCTTTAGTTTTCTCTTATAAAATGGGCGGACCGAGTCTGCATGGAGTTGTCCAGGGGTTCAGGAAGGCTGCAGAGTGCACAAAGCTCCGTGTCCATGGCGCTGATCCTGTGATGGCGTGAGACCTAGGAGGGCCACACAGAGCTGCTGTGTGGCTGAGCTGAGGCTGCCTAGATCACAAATTGTCTATCACTGGGTGACAGCCCCTATGTTGACCCTCCCCTCACTTGCCACCCTGCCCTCTTATGTACTGAGGGATGTCTTCTGGGAGTACGCGTGTCCAAACCAGACCACCCTGAGAGATGGCCTCCGTGGCTGTGGTCCCCTTACAGACGGGCCTCCTGAGGTCCAGAGAGGGGAAGACCCCGCACAGTTATCCCAGGAGTTCTCCCTGGGTCTGGCTCTCCATGCTGAGTTGAGCTGCCTCACAGTGCCCTCTGCTGCCAGACCCTCACCCTGCCACCGTTCCCGGGAGGCCGCACGGGGCAGATCCACAGGCCTGTGCCCCCCTTTGCCTGGGAGCCAGCGGAGCCCCGAGAGCACCCATCTCTGGGCCCAGGGCGCTGCCATTGAATCCCGCCCCAGCCCGGCCTGGCTTTGCCCAGAGTCACAGGTCATTCTTTGACTCTGAGGAGATGGAGGCGGGGGCCCCTCCCTGGCCATGCATCCTTGTCCCCTCCTCCTGTGCGGGCCTGGCTTGTGCGGAGGTTGTCGGGGAGGATGCCAACCCTGCGGCACCTGTCCTCCCACCTAGGCAGCTGTCAGAGGAGGACCTTTAAGATACCTTCCAGCTCCAAGATGTGACAACACCTTCCAGCCTCCTATTTAAGTAAAGCCTAAAGGAAAATTTTTTCCTAAGTCTAAACAAGTAAGTGTAGAATTTAGATCCCCTGTTTCCACAAGGCCCCATGGGGGCTTGCCAGGCTGGGCTGCTCAGAGAGCGGCAAGGCTGGCCGTGGGGCCCAGAAGTCAGGTCAGGACCGGAGGGGAAACCAGGTGAGGCCCTGCCCACAGGAGAGCCCCTGTCATGGGTGGGATCTGGACCTGCACCTGCAACTCTGCTACTTGCCGGCCCTGAGCACCTGTGCAACTAACTGAGCTGTTCGGGGCCTCCATTTCCTCACCTGTAAACTGGGAGAAATAATAGCAAATGGCTTAGAATTGCTGTGAAGATTAAATTAGGTAACATTTGTAACGACACTTTAGCTCAGTGCCTGGCACATAGTGAGTGCTCAGCAATTAACAGCAATAACCACAATGGCTCATAGTTACTGAGCACATCCTCAGACAGGCACTATGCTGAGCACTTCACGTGTGTCAACTTAACTAACCCTCATAACAGCCCTGGGAGGCGTGCGTAACTATCATCCTCATCTTACAAATAATCCAAGGCACAGAGGAGGGATGTAGCTTGGCTGTGGTAGGTTTAGCTAATAAAGGACTGAGCTGGGATTCAAATCCAGGCAATTTAGAATTTACATTTTTCACCACTACTATGATTATAGTTCTAATTACAATAAAAAGTATAATTATCGTTCCAGGAGGCAGTGAGCTCCCAGTCCCTGGAGGTGGCCTGGTGGGGCCGGGCAGGCCCCAGGGATCCCTGCCTGGAGTGAAGGGAGGTGGCTCTGGCTCGCCTCTGTTAGCCGTTTGGCAGGGGTGGCCATGTCGCATAGAGATGGTGGGGAGCAGACGGGAAGGGGGGGGTGCGTCCTGGGCCCTGGGCAGGCCTTGCTGCAGCTCCTGGAGGGAGGAGCCTTGGGAGCCACTCTGGGGCTGCAAATCAGAAACTCTCCATCTCAGTTTCTTCTCTTTCTGCCCACAGTTCCCACACCTCCCTCCCCTGTGCCTGGGTTTCCCTGGCTGCTTTGGGGGCCAGCTCCTGGGGCAGAGCTGCCCGGCTGCTCTGTCAGGGTGATTGGCATGGGCTGGTCCCCGCCGAAGATGACCCCCCGCCCCGCAGTGGAAGGAAGAGCCCGTTTCCCAGCAGTGCAGAGGCTGGGGGTGGCGGGCCGGTGGGAGCGGTCCTGAGGCCCATTGTGTGGTGCTGATAAAGTACGGAAGCTGAGGTTAGAATGGGAGGAAGCGCAGCACCAGGGGCCCTTTCCCACGGGTGGGGGCTTTGGGCACTGCCTAGACAGGCCAGCATGACCACAGCCTGTATATCCAGTAGGCAACAGTAGTAACACTCACTGGGCAATGAACACTGGCAGCCCCCGGTTAGTGAGGGCGTCCTGTGTGCCAGGGTTGGGCCATGGGATCCCAGGCTTTTTCCTAGTGCATCTTCCAACAGTGGGGTGGGTGGTCATCATCATGCTGGAACTAAAGAAGCTGAAGCTGCGAGGCGGGGAAACTTCTTCAAAGTCAGCGGAAGTAGGATCTATACCCAGGTCTGGCTGTACACTGAGCTCTGGACTCTTACATCCCAGACGGGCGTGTGCCTGTGTGTGCACGTACGCACACGTGTTTACGACCTTGGTGGGGCAGCGTTCTCAGGAAGGAGGCGGCATTTCCCAAGTCTTTCACTGAAAACATTCAAAATGTGCTCTGCTCTTGCATTTGAGTAGCAGCATCCTCTGGTGGAAAAACACACGGCTTGATTTCAGAGAGACCTAGATTCTAGCTGTCAGTTAAACACTGGATGTCCTTGGCCAAGTGACTTAACTTCTCTGAGCCTCTGTTTCCTTTACTCTGAAGATTAATGAGATAGTATCTGAATAATGCCCATTCCAAGATCTGGCCTATAGTACAAGCTCTATAAATAATGCTGCACTTCATCTGTCCATATCTGTCGGTCCATCCACCCATCCGTCCGTCCATCCATCCATCAGTGAAGTATCCATGGGTGAGTGCTTCACTGAGGCTAGTAGCTCCTCCTGCTGGATATCTCTAGATGACTTTCCTTTCCAGAATCCACACAGTATTTTAAAGCTTAGCTCATTTTCTGTATTTTACAAATGAGGAAACTGAGGCCCAGGGTAGGACTCAGGGGGAGTCAAAGCCAAGATCCACACCTGGTGGTCCTCTGTCTTGTCTCAGAACACAGTGTCCAAGTCCATCCCTCTTTGAACTCCAGCTCCTCTGGAGTCTCAGAGCATTTCCTGGGCTTCTGCTCTGGGTGGCACAGCTGGGACCCTGGCTCCCCTAGGGGACAGGCTAACACAGGCAAGGCAAGGGAGCCAGAGGGAGCCCCCACAGAGACAGCGGGAGTCTGGAGCGGTCAGCGGAGGTGGGGGGGAGGTAGACACTGGGGAGGAGAGGAGAGGGCATTCCAGGAAGGGGGCACAGCACAGTCAAAGGCAAGGAGAAGGGGTGCAGTGGGTGGAATTTGTGGGATGAAGTGGAGCCTGAGGGACAGAATTGCAGGCCTTGAATCAATCAGCAAGAGCCTCAAGATGCATCTTTCCCAGCCTGCTTTCCCTCCCTCTTCATTCATTCTACGCATATTTATTGGGTCCTAATGTGTGCTAAGTCTGGTGAAGGTGACCCAGACAGAGGTGAAGACAGGCAGAAGCCTGCTCTTGGGAACTCACAATCCAATTGAGGAGAAAGATTTCAAACAAGCCATTTTGGGTGTAGTAGGGACCTCAAAGAGGGTAAAGTGGGCACAACCTTGGTCTAGGGGTCAGGGAGGTCCTCGAGGTGAGGAGGCATGTACGTGGCTTTCCTGAGGCTGGATCTTAGGGAGGAAAGAGGGGTGGGAGAGTCACAGAGGCACCCCTGTGCCTTTCTGGAATGAATACCATGTGCAGGCCTGTGGTGAGCAGACAAGGCGGGGGAGACACCCTGCTTGGTTGGAGGGCAGGTAGAGGAGGCTGCTGGAGTCGGAGGCAGGCTGCAGAGATAACTGAAGGGGCTGTAACAGACATAAATGGACCTTTCTGCCCAAGGACACAGCATAATAGAGGCTATAAAAACCTGTATGGCCGGTTGCGGAGTTTGGATGTTATCCCAAGGGCACTAGGGAATCATGGAAAGTGTTATGGCAAGAGAGGTGCTCTCAGACCTGTGTCATAATTCACGTTACATGCTCTGACCAATCCCAGGTATCTTTCAGTCCTCAGAATCCGGAGCTAGTCGTTATGCTCTCAATTTCGATTAGGACAGCAATTGGCCCGCGTCGCCCAGCAGAACCCCTGCTGGAGCGCTGCTCCCCGGCCTGCCCCACTGCCTGCAGCGGCGCCCTGGCCATTGACGCCGTGTCTCTGGCTTCTTCCCAGCAAGCCAGGGCCTAGGCGCCCTAGGAGGGGACCCCTGTGGGTGGAGGCTCCCCCAGCCAGCGGCACTCTGGGAACAGGCTGTTTCTAGGAGTGAAGTCTCCCTGCCTCGTCTGTTTTGTGAGGGGTGGGAGCTTTGGGAGGCTTGGGGGGCCTACTTTGCAGGAGCTGTTGGATCCCTGAGCCTCCCTTTGCTCAGGCAGCAGCCCCTGGAAGCCCAGACGACTACATAGCTGTCTTTTCTCCACAGATGAGTGGGCCCGACACGGTTGGGGACAACGATGAAGGCTCCCGGAAGAGAAAGAGCAAAAACTTGTATGTTGGAAAGATCCATTGCCCTCACCCTTGCAATCAGGGAGGCCCCCCGTACCCCTCTTCCTCCTCCAGGGGTATGGGTGGGGGGAAGGGGCTGCGCCCAGTCCTGCCCCAGGCAGACACCATGAACAGCAGGATCCTGGGACTTAGCAGTGGCCCCAGGGTGGGGTAACCGGTGTTCTAAGCATTCAGCACTGCCCTCAACATCTACGTAACATGAGGCAAGGTGCTGGTTCGGTACCTGGAAGCCACAGCGAACCAAACAGAGGCAACCAGCCAGGTTGCCGTGGCCCTGGCCCAGCCTCTAAGATAAGTAGTGGCCTAGTGACCTCAACAAGTTCTTTGTTCCCTCTGAGAAAGGGCTGAACAGACAGTTCATATGATTCCTCTTTCTCCTCTTGGCTCTTGAGTGCTAACAGTCCCAGACATTGCCAGGAGGGGGCGCTGCTGGCCAGATAGTGTATCCCATAGTCCCCCAAGCCTTTCTGGTCAAGCTCAGGGCCCCTTATGCTTTCGTTTTGGGATTTCTTAGAAGTGCCTATTAACAGGGTAGAGAATCTCCTTAGGTCTCCTTGTAGCCCTAGGCCTGAGGCCCTGGAGATTACAGAGAGGGACACATAGTGGCAACTGGAGGGGGCCCCCGCATCCCCTCCAGGACCTGTAGTGCCCATTATTATGCACAAATTGGGCCTGGGAGACAACAGGGATCCTTCCCAGATGCCTCCTGCAGCCTTCTTCCCTTGCCTCGCTCTTAGCTGGGGTTCACTGCCCCAGAAACTCCCCCAGCTGCCCTGCCCTCACCAGTTTCCTGCAGCAGCGTATGCAGGCTTCTCTCTGCAGCCAGGAGCAATCGCACTTTCTAGGGAAGGTGAAATGCACACAGAAAAATAGTCCTTTGCAGCCACCATCTATCTGGTCCAGGCCAGAGCTGCCTTGGGGGCGTTCCCAGCGGTGGGGTTGTGGGGGGCCGTGGTGGGCCGTCCCCCACGGTGCCGGAGCTGCCCTGGCCCAGCAGCTCTGGCCTCCTTTCAGAGTGTGCACTGCCTTTTGAATGCCCGAAGCTCACGTTCTTAAGAGTTTACTGAAGACTCTTAGAGTCTGGGATAATAATAAAAATAACTAATATGTATTGTGCTAGACGCTGTTCTGTGTATATCACACATATTATCTAATTTAATTTTCACCATTATTTTTATTTTACATTTTCTTACCTTATTTTACAAATAAACTGTGGTAGAAAGAAGTTACTTGTCTAAGATCACATAGCAAGTAAGTGGTAGAGCTGGGACCTGAAAACTGGCATGCTGGCTCTAAAAAATACATAAATATATATATGTATACACACACATATACATATTTTTTTCTTCAGAGTCTGTTATTTTTTTTAATCCTTATCTGAGGATAAATTTATTGATTTGAGAGAGAGAAAGAGAGAAACATCCATCGATTGGTCCGCATGCACCCCAACTGGGGATAGAACATGCAACCTAGATATGTGCCCTGACTGAAGATTGAACCTACAACCTCTTGGTATATGGGATGGTGCTCCAACCCACTGCGCCACCCGGCCAGGGCCGGAGCCTGAGCCTGTTCCTTTTAAGCTCGCTGCAAAGCACTCTGAAGGAAATCCACAGCACCCCCGCTAAGTAGCCTTTGAGCCCAGAGGCCACTCTCCATCTTTTCACGGCTCTGATTGGAGGAAAGCGCTCCTTTAGCTTCCTCTTATGAGTTCCTGTTCTGTCCTCTGACCTCTGCCTTCCTTTCTTGAGATGTCCATGTGCCAATCAGGGGCCTTCCAAGGACCTTCACAGGTGTGCCCTGCTGCTGTTGGTCTGCCCAGCTATGCATCTGGGAGGAAAGGCGTGGCTGGGCCAGTCACAGAGAAACAATGTGGGCTCTGAGCCAGCAAGGAGCCCCCGAAGGTTGGACCTCAGACAAGCCCCTCCCCTGCCCCGGGCTTCTGAGTACCCACCTGGACAGCAGGCCTGCAGCAGGGGCTCTCAGAGCACAGTGCTCAGGAAGTTGTGCTCTCTCACTCCCGGCCACCCCAGGGCCCCCAGTCCTCATCCAGAGGGCTGACAATCCCTGGACTCCTTGGCCTTGTCTCATTGGCTTGGAACCTTCTAGAAGAGGGTCCTCATCTGGGGGTGGCTGCTCCAGACCCTCAGGAGGCATTTAGACTTCAGCTCCTAAGCCTGAGCAGTTTTGCTCCAAGCACTGTGTAAAGCTTTATGTGCATTTGCCTTGAAACAACCCCAGCAGACTAAGTGCCTTTATCACACCTGTTTAATAGGTGACAAAACAGGACATTCAGAGAGGTTAGGTAACTTCACAAAGGGCACACAGCTGGTAACTCCTGGAGCTGGGATTTGAACCCTGGGCTATCTGGCTTCAGATTCTCACTCATAACCTCTACCGGGTACCACTTCCCTCAATTACAGAGGATGTCCCATGGGTCATAGTGTCATTTGAAGCTTGAATAACTTCAGAAGTATAAATGCTATAGACTTAAAAAACACTTTTGAAAGTTGAATTATTTAAACTTATTTTACACTTATTTAACTTTGTGATTTAGATCCTACATTTTAAGCTTTTGGTTTCCATCAGCAATTTTTCATGTTTAATCAGAGAATGGAGACCAAAAATTAAAACAAAAATTTTAGTATTCAAAAATCATAAAAATGAGTATCTTAAAAATTAAATAATTAAACTTTCAAAAGTTGCTTTTGAAAGTTTTTAAGACTTGGACTTCTGAAGTTATTCAAGCTTCAAATGGCACTAAGACATTTGCTGCATTCTGCATGTTCACGGGTGGGAGCATCTAAAGCCAGTGACGGAGGCTGTGGGGCCAGCAGGCAGGAGCTATTCTCCAGAGGTGCCCAGGGCAGGGGGTCTGGAGAAGGGGGCGGGGGCTGGCGGGTGAAGAGGAGCATGGGACATTTAACCCTTTTCCTGCCAGCAGCTTTGCCCAGTGCTGGAATCTGCTGCCTTGGTGGGGGGAGTGGCAAAGCTAAAAATAGTTCTTGGCTAAAAATAGCCAGTCCTGCCACCCTGGCTTGCGGAGCCTCCCCCCCTCCCCTTTTCCCTCCCAGCAATTTGCTGACTTGTTTTCTCCTCCTTCCCCTGGTGCTGCCATGGTAACGGGGGAGGCCAGTCACAAATAACTGGTTCTGGCTTCCTGCCTGGGCGGGCCCCAGAGGCCGCCCCTTGCAGACACATGCCCCTTTCACGGGCTCCCTCTCAGGGTTGGCCAGGAGGGATTTTTTTCCTGCTTTCTGTCCTGGTCCCTCCCATTTCCTGGCTCCTCCTGTCTAAGTCCCAGCCCAGCCTATGCCTGGGAGTCCAGTTGTCCGGCTGGAATCCCTGCAAGCACACTCGGCTGCATCTTGCCCCGCTGCTGCCCGCCTGCTGCCCGGAGTGTGTGGAGCAGCAGCCCAGGAGTTCCCTGTAGAATATTCCTGGGTTCCAAGGTGGGGGGCCCTACGGACATGCTCCGAGGCATGTACCTCACTCGCAACGGGAACCTACAGAGGCGGCACACGATGAAGGAGTAGGTGTCCCTCGCCCCAGCCCACAGCCTCCCCACCCTGAATTTGCAGGGGCCGAGTGTGCCAGGCTGACTGACCCCCTTCTCTGCTTCTGCTTCCAGAGCCAAGGACATGAAGAACAAGCTGGGCATCTTCAGGCGGCGGAATGAGTCCCCTGGGGCCCAGCCAGCAGGCAAGGCGGACAAAGTGATGAAGTCATTCAAGTAGGTGCTCCCTGGGACCCCTCGGGCACTCACTGGTTCCTGGGGAGCAGGGCTGGCGGTGGGGTTACGGGGGAAGGGGTTGCTGGCCGGATCCCGCTCTGGGTTGGATGGGGGCTCTGACAGAGGGAGCCTGGTACCTGCAAGCAGCGGCCCTCAGGGGGAGCAGCCGTCCTGGGGAGGATGGCCAGGCAGGGGCGAGGTGGGGGCTAGAGGCGATGCTGGCCCCGAGAAAGGGGGTGGGCCCCCTTCGGAGCTCCCCAGTCAGGATCAGCCACTGCCTGGGCCAAGGGCAGCGGGCAGGGGCTGCGTGGACCCAGCCACCCCACTTTTCGGAGCTTCGCGATGCCCTCACTGTGTCCCTCCTCCCTCCCCTCAGGCCCACCTCGGAGGAAGCCCTCAAGTGGGGCGAGTCCTTGGAGAAGCTGCTGCTTCATAAATGTAAGTGGGGCTCCGTGGTCCGTTCCCCTCCCTGTGTTCTCTCCCTCTCTCTCGTCCTCCCTTCCCTGACTGACCCTGGAGAAGTAGCCTCCCCCTCTTTCCTGGGCCTAGCGAGGTGCCCCTGTTGTCGGGAAAGGCTGAGCCTGGGCCGAGGCCCTCGGTCTGGCCTTGGACCTGGCCCCTGCCAGCCAGAGGCCACTGGGACCAGTGTGCTCAGACCCGCATTCCCAGAATAACAATAAACATTTCCACGAACCGAGGGCCTGCACTGGGCCAAGTGTGCCTGTCCTCTCATGGGCAGGACCCCCTCGATCCTCACAGGGCTGCAGGGGACTGGCTGGCCATCCCTGTTTTACAGATGAGGAAACTGAGGCGCAAGTGGGGACAGACCTGGCCAAGGCCCACAAAGAGGCAATGGCAGGGCCGGGACCACCTCCCGGGGCTGCTGGTTCTCGGGAGCCCGCCATCTGACTAAGCTCCCTGCGTCTGCACCCTGACAACTCTAGGGGGGGACCTGGGGTCCTGGACCAGCCTCTCACCCACCGTCCGGGCTTCTCCTCACAGATGGATTAGCAGTGTTCCAGACCTTCCTTCGCACCGAGTTTAGTGAGGAGAACTTGGAATTCTGGCTGGCATGTGAGGATTTTAAGAAGGTCAAGTCACAGTCCAAGATGGCAGCCAAGGCCAAGAAGATCTTTGCCGAGTACATCGCAATCCAGGCGTGCAAGGAGGTAGGGCCTCCAGCTGACCCCTGCCCAGTCCCAGTGCCCCGTGGCCTCTTAGTGGTTGGGGGGTACCTGGATGCCTGAAGGAAAAGAGATCAGGGAGGGGAGAGGGCAGAGTGATTCTTAGGGACCCTGCGCCCTGGGTGGAGAGGAAGCCCACCGGGGCCTCAGGAAGAGGTGAGTTCTGTTGATAACAAAAATGGCCTCCGTAGAGATGCTGAGCGCTTTATGAACGGGCTCTTGCATTTCACCCTCAGGACAACCTGTAAAATAGGTTGTAATATCATCATCCTCGTTAAAATGAGGGACAGTTTTGGAGAGCCGAGTCATGTAGCTGACGTCTATCGAGTGTGTGCAGGCACTGTATACAAACTTTGGGGATGATCTGCTTTAATCCCAATTCTTTAATATGGATGATCTTGCTTAATGATCTTCAAATACATTTGAAGAATGTATTATTCCTAATCTACAAATAAGACAACTGAGGCTCAGAGCACTTAAGTGATTTGCGTAGAGCCACACACCTCCGTATGGTGCAGGCAGCCTGACCCTCGCAGCGGTGTTTCAGGCCCTACAGTAGGTGACCAAGCTAGGACTTGAATCTGCTGACCCAGGGGCCCCCACTCTGAACCTTAAGATGTGCAGCAGAGGGGCTTGAAGGTGAGAGGCTCGACAGGTCCCACCCCCGCCCTGGTCCCCAGGGTCGGGCCCCTGCGGGCAGCCCTGACCATGCCACCTCTGCCCCTGTAGGTAAACCTGGACTCCTACACACGGGAACACACCAAGGACAACCTGCAGAGCGTCACACGGGGCTGCTTCGACCTGGCACAGAAGCGCATCTTTGGACTCATGGAAAAGGACTCGTACCCCCGCTTCCTCCGCTCTGACCTCTACCTGGACCTCATTAACCAGAAGAAGATGAGCCCCCCGCTTTAGGGGCCACCAGGGTAGAACTCAGCGTTCACACCGGGAGGGCTGGGCCCCCTCCCCTGCGACGGAGGAGGCAACCAAGCCCCCAGAGGCCACGTCTCCGGACAGATGGACATTTGGACGAGAAGCTTGGACCAAGAGAGGCCCAGGCGACTGGAGGAGAGAAGGCCTGGCCCCATTGGGTCCCCAGTGCCCCGGTACGAGGAGGCCCAAGGGCCCTGGCGGGTCGGGGCCCTGGCTGAGCCAGATCCGGAGCTGCTGCTCCTTGCTGCGGAGACCTCGCATTGACCAAGTTCCTTAAAGAACTGGCTGATGGGGCGGGGGCATGGCCGGGGCTCTGGGGCTGTCTAGGGCGGCCGCTGGGGCTCGCAGCACAGACCCCCGCCTTGAGTTTTATTTATTTAAACAGTAGTAGGATGCTTGGCACGTCTTCCTGTAATAGGAAACCTTTGCCTCATCAGTTTTCCTAATTTACAAGTGCAATATTTTAACCAACGCCTTGTGAAAAGCCACCTGGCAGAAAAGGTGGGCATCATTTTCCAGTTTCAGGGGATTTGCTGGTCCCGGGAGCCAGTGGCAGGCAGCTGGGCCTTCTGGACTGATGAGGCCTGGAGGGGCAGGTGATGGAGCCTGACCTCACCCACACATCCAGCCGCCTCGCGTGAGGAGGTCCCTTAGGGGCTCTGGGAAAGCATGACACCCTCAGACCACACAGCAGCCAAGTTCTGGAGCAAATAAAAGGCCTGTGTTATTTCTTGGTTTTGATCCTTTCTGTGTGTTCCTGGTTGCGAGGCTTCCCATGGTGACAGGGGTTGGAAGGGTTGGTTGTTGGGCCGGTGGTGCGGCTTCTCTCCTCTCTATGTGTCGCCTGCCTCCCACCCTGGAGCCGTAGACATGACACACGGGCGAGAGATGCTCCCTGACCACCTCTGCCTCTGTGACAGATGCTCTGCCACGCTTGTTCCTTTTGTCATCTCATCTCCACGATCCTGGGAGGTGGGAGTTATCCCCATATTACAGATGAAGAAAGTGAAACACAGGCAGGTAAGGTGACTTGTCCAAGGTCACACAGCAGGCACATGGCAGAGACAGGGTTCAGCCTAAGCCCTCTGGCTGCAAAGCTCTTGATCTCTTGTCTTCTGCCAGCTACAGATGGAGTCCGACCTTGGCCACCAACTGGCTGTGTCACCTTCAGCAAGTTCCTTCACTTCTCTGCCTTGTCACACCCTGAGATTCTGGTTGGTGGCGGTGGATGGGGCCAGAAGCTTTGGGAGGGCAGCAGCTACAGATGGGCAGGGTTGCAGAGGCTTTTAGGACAGGAAGAGCTGGGGCGGTGACAGGGAGAGGGGTTCACAGAGAGTCCCTCTGCACCTAACAGGAGATGAAAACTTAGCAAAGGCCTTGTCTAAAGCCGCAGTTCAGAGGCAGCCCTGGACCACCCTCCCGGAGGGGTGGAGGAGAGCCTGGAACCCGGGCCACGCTGGTGCCCAAGCTTCCCCTGATGCCCACACGTACTACCTGCCAGGGCCTTGGGACCGGGGCCAAGCCATGGAAGGCCTGGGGATGGGGCCTGGCTCAGCCGGGCTGACTTAAAGCCGGACAGAATTGGTGGGTGGAGGAGGGGCTGGCTGCCTCTCCTTGGACTCTGTTCCCTGCCTGGGGTCCCGGGGTTGGGTCTGCCCATTGGGGACTTGGAGATGCAAAGCACATGGGGCTGTCCAGCTGCACCCCTCCCTGCTTTTCCTCGCTGGCCTCCCTGCGTGAGGCCACCCCCAGGAGCCCCCACAAGGAGAACATGGAGGTCTAACCTGGGGCCCGACATGCAGTAGGCGCTCAGTTCATGTTGCAGCCTTTCCCCGAGCACCAGAATATGAGCTCTTCCAGGCCCTGGCCCCAGCCATTGAGCCCTGCTTGGCTGTGCCATGGCGAGGCCTTTCCTGCCTCGAAGCTGCCAGTACCCCAATGAGGCAGGAAGGACAGGGGAGCAGAGACATGCTCCTCATTGGGAGCAAGGGTATCTTCTGCTCAGAGGAGACACTCAGCCCTCGAGAAGACTCCCTTTTCTTTATTCGAGGGATTTAGCCCCGTTCTAGGTCCTCTACCTTCCCACTCCAAATCGCCATGGAAACCAGAGTCCAGGGGAAGAAAGTCAGGCAGATGGAATTCCCATTTCGGAAGGCCCCACTGCCTGGTTTCCATTACTCAAACCCAGGTCCCTTGGCCTCAGAGGGGCTTTGGCTACGCCAAGCTGCTGGAGAGCAGACTGGAAAGGCTCCTGGATCCTCCTGCGTTGGGCTTCTGCGGGACCTTGGGCACGGCTCCTGCCCCCTTCGGCCTTAGTCCCCTCACCTGTACAGTGTTGTTTGGGCCGGTCCCCATTTTTCTTGCGCATGTGAGGAAGGAGCAGGCTTCTTGGCTTCTGTCTGGCGGTCCCTGGCTGGTCAGTGTGGGATCTGAGAGCTGTGAGGTCAGCGTGCCCAGCCCCCTTCCCATCCCACTGTGAGGAGGGGGATTGAGGTAGAGGGAGGGAGCAGCACCCAGTAAGGTGAGGGCCCAGAGCCCGCAGCTGGGCTCCAGGTGCCGGCTCCTGGCTCCACCACGACTAGCTGCATATCTTTGAGTCTGTCTCATAACCTCTCTCTGCCTCAGTTTTCTCATCTATAAATTGTGCACGTTGGCACCTATACCAGAGTTGTGATGACTGAGCAAGGTCATTCCTGCCACAAGTTCAGCCCAGCGTCTGGCGCAGGGATCTGCTCTTTCTGCATGAGCTGCTATTAGTGACATCATTATCCAGGGTCAGAGGAGGTGGCAAAGCTCATTCTCTGCTTGCCCAGCCCAGGCGCTACGGTTCTTAGAGCAGAGAGGGAACCTTGAGTTTCAGACCCCAGATCCCTGTCCTTCCAGGAATAGTTTTGCTGGTGGACAAAGCCAGCCTGTTCCAGGGACTAAGAACAGCCTGTCCCCATGCCTCTGCCCAGTCTTGGCCTAGCTGGGCACAGTGGGGTCAGCTGGCAAATAGGGTGTGAAGGGTAGAAAGGGGAAAGGGCACCACAGTGCTGCTTGGTTGGAAGCCAGTGGGTGGAGACTCAGCACTGGCCCGCCTGTGCCAACTTCAGCTGACTTCTTGCAGGCGAGTCAAGTCCCTCACACCCTCGGCCTCTTGGTCTGGCTTGGGCCAGGTATGGCCTCCCAGGCTCTCCATCTGGTCCAAATGGCTGCCTGGTGTTTGGGTCCCTTCTTGGGTTAGTACTTGCCTTCCTCCTGTATCAGGGGGCTCATTATCTTCAGAAACACTTGGGGCGGGGGGCGGGGCCTGAGAACCTCTAGAGTCCTAAAGTTATTGCCCTGGGAAGGGGGTATCCTCGGGTGAGGGTGGGGCAATGGTGGCAGATTTCAGTCCTCTCTGTTCCCCTCAGCCTCACCAGATTCTTCTGAGCTCCCTGCACTTCCCTCCCCCCTTGGCTTGTTCTCCGCTTTCTGGGTCCCTCCCACTGACAGCCCACCCTGGCGTCTCCAGCTCACCTTGCTTCTCAGGCCTGCCCCAGGCCCTCCCCCGCCTCTTCCTCGGAGCCCTTGGGCCCTCAAGCAACAGCCCCTGAGCCTCAGAGGAGCACTGCTCCAGTGCTATTGTTTGCTTACAATCGGCAACATCTGGAAAACATCTGGCTTTGCTTGTCTTCTCCCCGGCTGGGCGGGAGGGAAGGAAGGGGTTACCCTGGGCCCCCTGACACTGAGGAGCCCCTTTGGGGGGGGTGGAGGCGGCGGGGGTGGGGGGCGATGAGGAAGAGCTGTGGGGCTGATCCCAGCCTCCTCCGCCTGGTTGGGGGCAAAGGCATGGCTGGGTGGGGGCAGGGGCACAGACAGGTTCAGATACAAAATAATAGCAGCTGCAGTCACACACTCCAAGGGCGCGCCGTGCCTTATCTCCATCAGGCCTCGCAACGGGTCTGGAGAAGGTCTGAGTACTGTGCTCATTTTACAAATAAGGAGGCTATGGTTCAGAGAGAGTGGACAAGTATGTCGTGACTGAGAAGGGACTACGACCCGGCTCCCAAACTTCCCAGCAGCCTCACCTCCAGCCAGTCTGAGGTTCAGTGGTGTGGCGGGGGCTCCTACCCCAGATTCTCCTTGGCTTGAGGGCAGAGCTCCTCTAAGTGGGGCCCACAAAAGGCGGGAGTGGAAGGGCCCAGAGACACCCGGCCCTGAGTTGAATCTTGGTTCTCAGTATAGCTGCGTGTTAAGCTGCCCCACCTCTCTGAGCCTCAGTCATCTCGTCTATGAAATGGGAATAATAATCCACCTCATGGGACTCTCATGGACTCAGGGAGATAAGAAATATGGGTAAACCCTCCGCACAGGGCCAACCACAGAGGGGCGCCCTGCATAGGGGTGGAGGAGGGAGGCCTGGGCTGTGACAGCCACCTGGGAGGGGAGGTCCGGCCCAGTCCCAGTCAGCTGCCCAGGAGGAAGTTGCCTCTGCTGTTTCTGAGAAAAACTGGTCAGTGACTCGATGACAAGGGCAGGGCCTTAGGAGGGCAGGCTTGGGCCCCCGGCTCCACAGGGGCTCAGCAGGGTCCTACCTGTGAGTCTCAGGAGCAATGGAATAGCACCTAAGCCGTCAAGCAGCTGGCCTGCCCTGGATCTGTCCCAAACTCTCCTGTGATCTTGGATGAAGCCCCTCCCCCTTCCTGTTGGTTTCTTCTAGAAAACAAGGAGAATCAATCTTTTCCCCCCTGTCTGAGGACCTTCTGAAGGGGCAGATGGTGCTTTGCAAGGTGTGAGGGGCTGGGATCCAGGCCAAGTGTAAATGTGTGTGTGCATGGTATGTTTCCACGAGTTGCAGGACGCTAAAAACGGAGTTTAGCCACTTCCCCCGAGGACTGACTTGGATGGAGCTGTCCAGTCACCGCTCGCCCCTGGCCTCCGTGGATCGCCTCGCTCGGGACACTGCCCTCCACGTCCTCTAGCCAGGCTGGGCTGAGGAAGGGTCTGCTGGTGAGCTACACGCTCCTTCCCTTGGAGTCAAGTCCTCACCCCACCCCGCCTCTACCCAACACTCTGCGCCACTGAGCCCAGGCCAGGGCAGCCCCTGGGGGCGGCGAGGGCTCCGTTTACACCCTGCGGAAGATAGAAAAACATGCAGTGGGTGGAAAGGCAAAGCGGAAGGTCGCTGGACTGGGGAGGAAGGGGGTCCGGCTCTGCTGCCAATTTGTGGTAAGTCCCTCCCCTCATTGCGCCTCGCTCTCCACACCTGAAAAGTGGGTGGGGAGGTATTCGAGGTTCTCGCCAGGAGCTGCCGCTGCTTCCCCCTCCTGGCTGGATCCCGGGAGTCTGTCCACCGCAAAGTGGTGGAGGACGTGACTAGGAGCATGGGCTTTGGAGGCTGACAGACCGGGGTTTGAGTCCAGGCTCAGATGTTCATTCACTGTGTGACCTTGGGCAAGTCACTGAACCTCTCTGAGGCACTGTGCCCTCATTTAGAAAGAGGATGTACTAGCAGTTCCCACTAAGAGTGCTGCTGTGAAGAATAGAAGCAGGCGGCGGGCCCGGCCTGCCTTCCATTCCTTGACTGCAATGCGCTTCCGACCGTCTCAGGACCTCCATTTGTGCGCCTCCCTTCGCCGAGAACATGCTTTCTTCCCACCCTTATTTATTAATGATAATGATGATGAGAGCAATAGCGAACCTTTATCAAGCACTTCATATTTATCAGGCACTGTGCTCTGTATTGACTGAT